TGGCTTAGACTGTGAAGGTCATACAGCGCATTTTCAGCCCTTTTAGATGTGAAAAGAGGAATGAATTTAATCGAATCTTCTGCCTCTGTTCCGTTAAAATGCAATAACTGCAGGGTTGAACCCAGTAACTTTATAGTTTCTCAGCCTTCCAAGCAATTTCCTGTCTGTATCAAAACAGAAGTTTCATTAGTGTGCTTGCGGAATGCGCCTATCCTGAACGCTGTCTCACACACTGTTTCTCTGACGTTACCCATTTCAGTATCTTTCTACGATCAGATCTACCTTTGAGGGAGGAGAGAGTCGCGGCAGCGAATTTTAATACTACGTCTGAGCTGTGATACTGTGTAGTCCGGTAGATAAGCACCTCCGAGGCTGCAGCTTCGTCCGAAACGTTGGTATGTACGGCGTCACTTCTCGGACCACCATAATCTCACATGCCTTTCAAATGTTCTGACTGCAGTATCATATGAATCTGTTATCTTTCCCACGCATACCTGGAGTCGGGATAGCGCAGTCGCTATAGAGAGACGGGCTACAGGCTGGACGTCCGAGGGTCGGAGTTCGACTTGCGGTAAGGGCAAGATTTTTCTCCTCTCTCACGTCGTCCAGGCTGGCTGTGGGGCCCACCAAGCCTCCTATCAAACGGGTACGAGGGGATCTTTTCCCGGGGGTAAAGCAGCCGGGGCGTGAAGTTGACCACTTACCTGCAATTAGTACCGAGGTCAAGAATACGTCTTCATAGTGTAGTGCTTAGAGGGACAAATTTGTCTTTCACTACGTATGCTAGGTGCCTTGACGTCTCACATTTTTGGTTTAGTCAGTCTGATGCTATTAGATGGAGGGCACTAAATCTGATACATACTGTCACGTGTAGCGGTGAGTTATAAGACGGGTTCTGAATGGGGTGATTGCATTTATTAACACCTTATTCACAGTACTCGGGATTACAGGCAATTACAGCGCTATCGTTATTTTAAGCACTTTGCAGTTCACCATTACACACGCAGTAGGATTCTCAGTCTCCACTAGCCGTATCCTGGCAACAGATATATCACAGTCTCACTATCACTTCAAATCACACATGAAGTCTTCTTTTCACTCTCCATTTCTTGCTTGTCATTTCATCCCAATCACGTTAGACTGCCACCTCCAGAATTCGACAACTACTGACTCAAAAGAACTATTCTTCAACTGAACTCTGTTGTTAATGAGGCGTGTTTACTGATCCGTTGCCTAGCAATGTACGTCCTGTTGTTAGGTGCGTTGTCTCCCGCGGGAATGTGTTTACCTAGTCGTTACCTAGCAATGGGTCTACACGTCACAATGATGCAATTCTCTCCAGCTTCCTGTTATGCTCTCTTATTAGTTTCAAATATTCTCCTCACTATTTGTTTTCAACTATTCTTGATATAATTTCGTCCTAACAGCGAGAACCGAGTTCTCGAGAACGTGTGAACAGAAAAACGAATTGCGTAAGTACGCCGTGAAAGCATTGCCTCTGGCGAATGTTGGTCGGAATAACGTTTGAAAGAACAGAGAAGGCCGGATTAAACAGACAATACACGCTTTTTGTCTTTGAGTTTCCCGAGAACGGCAGCTGTTAAAAGCACCCAACTCACAGTTTAGACACCCTGAATAAGAATAATATATAAATTGTATTGTTTTATTTTCTAAAATATACAGATGGAATATGTAACTTCTGTTCTCATCTCTCTTTGCCGATCTTTCTCTTACTCGTACATGTGAGGTGTATATTAATCCAGTCATTCTTACAAAACTGTTTACCCACCCACGTCAGTTTCCTTGCTGTAGGTTGTAGAGAGCAGATTTCTTAACATTTGACGTTCGCGTCGCTACCATTTTCATCTCGACTTGCTGTTTCTCGTAGGTTACGGCGAACCTAGCGATCGAAATTGAAATCCGTCACGAATCTGATATGCGGTTCAGTTCCCATAAGTACGTACTATAGGAGAGGTACGGATGTACAGTTGCCCCACAACGTAAGCTGATGTCGAAATTGCTTACTGTAATCTTCTGTAATTGTGAGTGGGGAGGTTTGTCAGAATAACAGGAAGAATGTTGTCATGAGGCAGAGTAAGAAATTGATGTTTTTTTCTTCTGCAGTGGCATTTCCTTGAGACGGCGTAGACATATCTAGAATATTTTAAGCCACGCCTAGTCTTAAAACCTCTTTTTATTGCGCACAATACAACACGCGATACTTAAAATTCTATGCCGTTTTTAGTACAGGCGTGTATGAACCGATGTCCTTGTTCTGGTATTTCATTATGAATAAATATTTATCTCTGGAGGAAACAGGAAGATGTACTTCCTCGTTTTAAGAAACTTGTTAGTGAGATTCTTATTTCCCGACATTGAAACATTCGTTGACAGTTGAAAGTAGGCCTGTTCGCTCTTGTGTCGTTTTGTTTAGTTATTCCGGCTGTTTGGAGACGCGCACGCATCTCTGATGCTTCCTTTGCATATAATTCGTAAAATTAACGAATGCTGTTGGGATCGTCTCTCTTCGTGTACCACATATTGAAATTATTCAACTGACGTCTTCGCGGTTTTTTTTATTGCTAGTGGGGTTGGACTAAGTCCTTGTACTGCGGTCATTTCTGGCCTATTGTACCAACCCCAGATGATAGGCGAGGGTGATTATGGAGTAATTGGTGGAATGAAGACTGGCAAGGGAAACCAGAGTACTCGAAAAAAAAACCTGCCCCAGCGCCACTTTGTCCACCACAAATCCCACTTCACCAGACCCGGGATCGAATCCGGGCCGCCGCGGTGGAAAGCCAGCGACTAACCGCTTGAGCTGTGTCGCGGCCCCTTTCGCGGGTTTAGTGTTTCGGATTTCTACACCGTAACTTTGTCAGGCGAATTTAATTTTATAATGTATCTATCGTATCTATCAGTTATAATGCTCGCTGTAAAGAAGCTCAAATTGAACCTTATATTCCACAGAACAGTTTTCAGCACAAGAAATAATACCCTTCATAAAATATGCATCGCATTCGAAACATGTTTTCATCATGGTGAATATACTTTTAACGAAGTAGACGGAGAAAATAATCGTCACTCTGTGTTGTGTGATAACCTGTAGTGCGAATAGCCTTGCAGCAATAGGAAATACTTGTATCTGCAATCACCAAGGCCAGTAAGTTTTGCAAATTTAATTATTCTGCAGTTAAGTAAACATTTGTTGAAAAAATATTGTTTATAACTATACGATAATGATAAAGTAAACAATAGTCAGTAAATGTGCTTCTCGTCCACACATATTGTATTGTAGTATATTTAACATAATTTTATTAATATAATATATAATGAAATATCACATTTCAGCACACTAATGCTATAGATACTGTGTCACATAATTAGAATTATTGCACTTGATAACATTCTGTCTGTAACCAGTTACTAACCAAATCTTGTAATGTGATTGTACTGTAATATACATGTTAAATATATTCGAATATTCTTAAGATGTCCCAATTCAAACGCAGTGCATAACGGAAGTAGTAGACAAACATTTTAAAAGTTGTGCCACCTGACTAGGAATTCTCTTACTTAATCTCATGAAGTATCGTCCTGACTTCTTGAATCTTATGTGCCCCAGTTTTGAAATTTCTCTTTTGTCGTGCGCCAACAGTCCTCTGCCCGAAGGAAAGAAACACACGCTGAGTCTGTGTTTCGTCAGTAGGTAGTGTACTGCGCACTTGTAGCACATCATGCCTGCTCAGACCGACCATAGCCTGTTTTGCTTCCCGACTTTGTAGCTTAACTGCATCAGCGGATCAGCCTTTTGAGGCAGAGATGATCAAGCAGCTGAACATGATTTGCAGATGTTCGCCCATCGCAGTGGATGACTGAACTTTGCGTATTGAATTGTTTAGGGTAGGGTCAGATTCATTCTTGATCGTCACTCCGTAAACCCTCTTTTTGGCGAAATTTTGGTAAATTAATTTTTGTCCTGTTAACATATACATAAAAATTTGAAGTTTATGTTTTTGAAACGCCGAAAATAGTTTCGAAATATTACAGAATGGCGAGACCTGTCTTTCATTCATCTAGCCATTGACCGAACTCGGCTGGAAGGGCCAATGTTTCTGAACGAGATATCTTAGATTCTAAAGGGTTCTGACAATGGTGGATGACACACAGAATTACTGGGTTCTTTTTTACTTTTTCCATCATCCGGAATTCTAGGTAATAGAGGACACGACATTTCGGAAACAGATCGAGTTTCCTAAACGTCGTCGTGTCCTCAATTACCTAGAATTCCGGACGATTGAAAAAGTCCAAAAAAAAACAGTAATTCTTTGAGGTATCTTAGGCATAGCATGCAAAGTGCTAAATTGCTGTTGCTAAATAGTGTGATACGCGGCGGAAATAACTCGGGTTCCCTTTTGATAATGTAATGGACAAGTGCTGCCATCTAACGATGTTGTTCCTGGAAATAAATTATCATATCTCTTATGTAAATTATGAATGCGGTGAAGTATTCAGGTTACTGTTCAAAGAGACATTTCTCCTCCTCCACTCCTTCCTTAACCGCGCCCCCTGCCCGCCATTGAGCTCAATGCGAATGTTGGAAGGTTGTGGTTCTCCCTGTTGACGTATTAAAAGGAATGAGTATAATATCCCCAGTTTAACCTTTTCATGAATGTTATACATCAAGTACTGTCTTCACTTAGATATATTACTGATACACAGTATTGTGAAGCAGCTTCTACACTCATCCGTAAACAAAATTGACAGTTCTTTCTTTAAACACCTCGCCATATCTAAAATATCTTTATTGGAAATTCGCCATCCCTCTTCTCTGAAAATGACTCCTATACTGAAGGCGGAACCGTAGAAGTGACCTGTTCGGAGACACAACAGCTGAGCACAGCGTCTGGAGCCCAAGAAGCAGAATTGCACAGTGCACAATTAGGTTAGACTGTTTAACATGGAGGCTCTAATTTCTGATTTGTGGCGTTATTTCTTAGGTTCAGCGAAACGACAACGAGGAGTGGTGTGACGTCTTCAGCAAATTCCGAGGAAACGCCATGGTGAGTTGCGGGAGATCTAATTGGCTCTGGGCTCTAGAATATCTGTGTGACGAGCGTCCACAAGTATTTCGGTACATCAGTGCACGCCTGGGTTTCTGCTGGCATTGGCTATCATTCAGGAGGGTAGATAGTTGCACGGTGAGGTAGGGCACAGTCGGTAGAACCTTTAGTGGCATAGAGACAGCTGTCGGTAGTGCAGTTTACTGCAGTTGTTTTCATGTGACATTAGAAGTAATGTTATGATTCTGCTCATGTTATACGCCCGTCGCAAAAATTATCATAAATGTCCGTCCTACAGTTCAGTGCTGAGATAAACATTAAGTTACTATATACTTACTTTTTTTAAGTTGTGCCGTATTTTTTAATTAAATGATTATTGTCGGGGAGACGAGATTTTGTTACATCTTAGGGAAATTTATCGAGTTGTGTCAATGCGGGTCGTTATTCTGGGCAATACCACGTGCAGAATTAGGCTGTGTTGCTGATGTTTATGAAATCAATTTGTCTCCATCTTCAGGGCGCAGTGACCACTCACAGATACCTGCCGATACTTATAATACAGGTCCACGGGTCTGTGCGATCTGCCCCGATCGATTCGCCGAGTGATAGCCAATGAAAAGTGAGACAAAGATAGAACTGTAAACGTCCGACCTCTTTCGGGAAGGGTGCTGTATGAATAGGATGTCTAAAACGGCTGGAAGCTTCATGGGATGATTCAGCACAGCGAGAAGGGGGGAATTATCGTTCGAGAAATCTTAAGTATCAGTTCCCGACCTACCTCTGAATTTGTACTATCGGCAGGGGCATGCGCGTTGAAGATGTGTACGGGATCTCCAAGAAGTCTGCGGCCTGCAGTCTTTACGGTGCCATTATTCTGAAACAGGCTGCTCCTTAACACTGAACCGCCGTGAAAGCCTAAACTCGTTTATAAAATATATTTCTATTTTCCTAAGGTAAAGCTTATGCAGTCCCATTCGGTCTGCCCTCGGTAGCCGCAATTGTACTTCTGACGCAAGATGCAGAGAACGAGAGAGAGTTCCTGGAAAGATGACGAGGCTAAAGCCTTCATTAGACGAATCGGGACTTACGTAAAGAAAGTGTGTAGGGCCTACTGAAGATTCTCGAAGGACAAACTAAAGACTGGAGTTTGCATCTCTCGAAATTGGCTGGCCCGCCAAATCGCAGCTGTATGAAGCTGGGTCCGTAATATGTACTGCAATAAATAAAGCAGGCCTATTTGAAATTCCAAGTTCTGTTATTCTTATTTATTTACTTTATGTAATTTCACTGACGGACAAAGTTTTAATTAAAGTGTGCTGGCTGTGTCGATACAAGTCTCTATCTAGTCTTCCGCCCCCTGTGCGAGACACTCCGAATCCAGTGGGGATTGTGTCCGCATGTCTCCCACTTTCTTGGCGTCTAAGAGAGGAAATGTTTTTGTATATGAAGTTCACCACCTGTTTACGGATTTTGCGTTAAGCTGCAGGTCGTCTCTTCCCGTCATAAAGATGAGCATTAGTCGCAGCCCAACGCCTGCAGCAAACCTAAAATGCCGCTCCCATTTAAGCCGTGTATTTCTACCGTCCCGTAGTGGGTCTGGAACGGGGTCCACTCAGCCTCATGATGATAATTGAGGAGCTATTTCAAGGAAATAGCGGCTCCGGTCTAGAAAACCGAAATTAACGGCCGTGGGAATTCGTTGCGCTGACCACGCGATACTCTCTATCCGCAAAATTTGGCACTAAACTTCGCCGACAAACGGCGGTCGCTCGGTCGGTATAGTTCGCTTGCGGACAAAAATCACCGAGTCGCGAGTGTCTAAAGCCTCCAGTTTGTTCATGAACAACATATAATACACTTAAAGGGCTGTCTTGCCGATGTAGGCCTAAGATAGGGGTATAATTATGAGAATGCCAGGTTTCCCCACTTATTCTTGCATTTTATTTGCAAGGATTGTGAGTTTTGTCACGGTGCTTCACTGGCACAGTGGTAAGTACTGATGCAATTCCTCCTTTTGGCACCCATGGTCGCCTTTATCCAGGGAATGTATGGTTGTGATGACTAACGAATAAGCTTACCGTAACCGATCTGCCAACCCCAGCTGGATTTAATTTAGTAGCATGTTTTGATCCATGTAAATTAACATGTTCGGTTAGGTTTACTTGTAACCTACAGCAAATGGACGAGAGGTACATAGGCTATTTCTTCCCCCCCCCCAAGAAGGAGTTTTAGCCCAAACTCTCGAATGAAAAAGAGAAAAGAAAAACGACTGGTCAACGCAGATGCGAAGTGAAAGAGGAAGACCCCCCCCCAGCAACCGCAGCTTGGCTCTTTAGAAAGTCACAAAATTTTACTTCTCTGAACCCTTTGAGAATACAGTATGTGACAGTTTTGAACCCATAACTTAAAAGATCGGTGGTCTCTCAACCCAAGCCAAGCGTAACCTTTGTTAAGCTACTGACAGGATTTACGTTAAGTTTTAACGCCTAAATTCCCTGTAATACCTAAACTGATGGGGGGAATACTTAATTAGTGTACTCCCATTTTTTTAAAAAAATGACCAATCCTCGTAATTTAGGGAGTTGACTTGTGGACCGAGACGTCTCCGAGAGTTTCGAGGAGAAGACATTCTGAAAAAAGTCGTATTCCAGATCGCAAACCATTCGGACGCAAATTCAGTCTAGTGCGTTAGTGGCGTCCACTATAGACAACAGTTTAATTGTCTTGTGGAACAAAGTGTGTGTGTGTGTGTGTTATAACAGCAGTTCCCACTTCCCTTCCTGAGCGAGACCCTGCCGAACGGTCTGAGAACTGAATCTTAGCTCTACCGGTGGAACTAGCTACCCACGACCGCCACCCCCTTATCAGTCCTTCACACCTTTCCTATATCTGTAAACTGATAGTAGCAATTTACTGGCGCCAAAACTAAACCCATTACCCTAAAGATCAGAGGTGTGTAAGTATGATAAGTGAAGCAGGGTAAAGTCAGCTGTAGCCGCCGCCGCCCGTGGCAGTCCAGCAGCCAGCGGCCGAAGACGACAGTAAAGTAAGTGGACACAACGAGCGAGCCGTTATAATCTGACGACTAATGTGTCAGGGTGGAAGTATCACTGAGTGGGTAGAATTCACACGACAGAACGAGAAGAACATGACGCCCAACGTAAGGGGTAAGGACGATTATAAGAACGTGACGCCAAACGTGTGGGCAAACGGTTACAATAGAACATGGAGCCCGACGTAGAGGCTCAATGGGTCGGTTAGAAGAACATGGCGCCAAACGTGTGGGCAAACGGGAGAACGATTGGAAGAACATGGCGCCAAACATGTAGGCAAACGGGAGAACGATTAGAAGAACATGGCGCCAAACATGTAGGCAAACCGGAGAACGATAAGAAGAACATGGCGCCAAACGTGTAGGCAAACCGGAGAACGATAAGAAGAACATGGCGCCAAACGTGTAGGCAAACGGGAGAACGATTAGAAGAACATGGCGCCAAACGTGTAGGCAAACGGGAGAACGATTAGATTACTTGTTTCTAAGACTACTTACTTGACCTAACACTTCTGTTTATTTTGCCTCTTGGTTATCATGTTCTGGCTATCAATATTTTGTGGTGTTCAGTATTACTAATACTAATTTTGAGAGAAGTGAGTTTCATGAATACGCTTTTCATTTGTACGGCGAGGCTTCTGATTCTTAACAAAAATTAGAGAAGGTCCTCCATTCTGCTCTTAGTTTTGAACGTATGTATACTTCAGTTTTGAGCTCTAATATTATTAATGTTGTAATACTGTTCAATTTCTACGTAAAGACAACTTTAATGGAATGACTAAGTTCTAATCAGTTTTCCGTGTACTAAACGTTAACTTTGCCGGTCACGGTAGCCGAGCGGTCTAAGGCATGCACTGTCTTCGCTCGCTCGGAAGTCGGGATCGTGGGTTCGAATCCCACTCAGGGCATGGATGTTTGTGTGCGTTTTTCTGTGTTTGTCTACAGGTAGAGGCCTTGCGACGAGCTGATCACTCGCCCAAGGAGTCCTACCGTATGTGTAAGATCTAGAAAAAGCCGAAGTGAACGGAGTTCATGGAGGTAGGCCTAGGCCCACTGGGGCTGTAGTGCCAAGGAAAAAAAAAGCGTTAACTTTAACAACATTCACTCACTCATGGAGCTGAACCTTCTTGAGAAGTTGCCAATTGTGCAGCTTATTTTTAGTCAAGAACTTCCCAGCATTTTTATGGAACCCAAATGATCATTATCGTGTTCACAAGAGCCCTCCAGCGGTCCCTATCCTGAGCCAGATCTATCCAATCCATATCCTATCCTATCTCACTGAAATCCATTTTAATATTGTCCACCCACCTTCGCCTTTTTCTTCGCAGCAGTCTCGTTCCTTCCGGCTTTCCCACCAATATCCTATATGCACTTCTCCTCTCACCCATTCATGCCACTTTCCCTGTCCATCGCATCCTCCTTGACTTGATAATTCTAATTATACTTGGAGAAGAGTACAAGTTATGAAGCTCCTCATTTGCAGTTTTCTCCAACCTCCTGTCACTTCATCTCTCTCCGGTCCAAATATTCTCCTCAGCACCCTGTAACTTTAGGAACACAGTACAACTAAAATACTCGTAGTTAATAAGTTGAAGAGTTCTATCTTCTGGGATGTAACCCTGTGTCGCCCGATGAAAGTTAACCAACATGTTCCTCCGAAACGTCTGTTGATTTTTAACGGACTACACGACGTTATATCCCAGAAGACGTGGCTCTTCATAACCACCGCTATGATGACCTCAAAACCTACTCATTCATTTGTTGCTGAAAATTGCATGTACTTGTTACACACTGATAGTATATTATGTTTGTACATGCACAATTCCATCAACAGAATTTAGGACATACCTGGGCTCGAGACAAGGCTGTGATCCGTTACCTTATTAGTGGTTATTATACTGTGTGCGTCATATTGAAACAATGGATAGAGACTGAACCAAAGTAAATT